GGGGGGTGTGTATTTTGCCATTGCATGCTTTATTGCTTTCCTCATGAGTGGTCTGTTCCTTCTTAGGTCTAAAATGTGGTGAGAATCTCTACATGTCAAGTGCCCCCAATTCATGGTCACAAGCAATCCAAAGCTGGTTTGATGAATACAAGGATTTTGACTTTGGTGTAGGGCCAAAGACTCCCAATGCAGTGGTTGGACATTATACACAGGTAAAGAGAAGAAATGAAAAACCACCTCCTTTACAAGTGCCCTAAAAAAAGGATTCTTCAAATTTTGACTGATTCCAAGTTGAGTTTGGGGGAAATTTTCAAGTGAATATAGAATAGTCTGGCATTTGGTGAGTATTTCAGCTGTGAGCTGTCATTTTTCAATAGTCTGCAGGATCATGGTAGGGAAACATAATCTTTGTCTAACAGTCTCAAAAAGGAATGTACATGGAAATGTAATATTTTAAAAGTCTTTTAGTTTGATTCAATAATTTAACTAAATATAGCCATAAGGTATAGGCAAAATATGTCGGTAACATTCTTCTCCATTTTGTATTTCCTACTATTTGCTTTTCAGTATTTTCTTCTTCTTTAATGTGCTCTCGTATGTTCACTTATGGGTTTATAGGTTGTTTGGTACTCTTCCTACCTCGTTGGATGTGGAATTGCCTACTGTCCCAATCAAGCAGTTCTCAAATACTACTATGTTTGCCAATATTGTCCTACGTAAGTATATATTTTAGAGTTTATTGTCAATAATGCTAAATACGATTTAATATTTAATATAAAAACAAACCAAAAAGCATATTTCAGTAAAGGTGAAGGAGATTAATCTTTAGAAATGTTTTCTAAAGTTGAGACACATTCAATCTACTTCGCAGAAAGATAAAGTTTTCAGTTCTAGTTCCAAGTGTTATTGAACAGGCAGCTGTCTTTCCTCATGCCTAAAATAATTTGTCTCCTCGCTCAATTGCCTTTTCCTATGCTCATGGTTACTTCATGATTACAGGTAGTGTGTAGTTGTCTAAATATAATTTTATCAGTTCATGCTAAGTTTACATACGAGAAACTGAAAGCTTGACAATTAGTCCAGGGATAAAGTAAGGTGACAAACAAATGAGTAAAGACCCATTTTAGTAATATCAGTCCTTTCTGCTCAAATGCTCTTACTCATGTTTATCAGAAAATTTCACATTATACATTAAGAAATGATTAAATCTTGGACCTCAAAGACTTTTCAAGAGATCCCCAATATGTTTCAAATAGCCAAGAAAAGATAATATCTTAAATTTTTGCTTCTTGGAATTTACCACAAAAACATTTCATGGAACCGTTAAGATCATAATTTCTTAATTATCTTGGGTTTCCTGAAGAAAGTCCACTTTTTTTCTCAAGCAATATATTTCACTTACTCACACAGAAAAAATCTGTGGATATATTGAAGATATATTCACAACATATCTATTAGCTTTAATTTCCTTTTAATATTTGAAATTGTTCACCACTAGTGGGAGGGGCTTTCCCCAAACTCAGCTTTCTGCATGACTTATTTTGAGGCTGTAGATATCCCAGGTGATGTAGGATTCCAGTTTGAGAAATATGACCTGCAAGGTCATTTTTCAGCAAAGAATTATCATTGTTAATGCAGAAAATTGAAAGACCCTGGGAGACTGCCCCCAAATGCCTGGTCATGAGAGGAGAGCATCTTGAGTCTGCATCTGAGTGAGAGTTGGAAGTAGTAATGAGAGAAAGCAGGAAAAAGAGAACTTCCAGAACACTTTGATGTCTATTTCACATTTTTTTAAGTGCTCAAACACCTACAGTTACATTCTGTGAAGGGAGGCTGAGATTCAGCTACATTGACTTGGACTGTTAACCTACTTAGTGCAATTAAGACTTTGGCTTTCTTGTATTTTCAGATGATAATTACCCATAGGAAAATAATCATCATTGAGGTACAGGCTAGTCACTGTAAGATGAACACACAGAGGAGATTAATATTAATTAAATCTTTTTTTTCCCCTAACATTCCCATTCTTGGCAAGCATAAACATCTCATACACACCACCTTTAGACATTCCCAAACCTTCCCAAGCACAATACCCTTTCACAAACATACAGCAAAACCCATGTGAAAATCACCACCCCACCTAAAAGCCAAAATTTATGCTGAAACTGTACTTACCCTTCTTCATATTATAGAAATTATGGTATTTTTTATTTTTAATTATAAGCTACATATAACATTAAATGTTATTTTTCATATTGCAACCTTCTGTGCTTCAGGAACTTTTCTTATCTCCCTAGGGGATATGTTTTAACCCTTGCCAGAACCTTGTGGTACATCATCTTAGCAATTTAACCAAGTCTATTGGGAGATGAAGTGTGTTGCCATATCGAAATACGCTCTAAAACCTTTAGACTTTAATTATCCTGTTTCAGTTTCTCAGGTTGCGAGACCATGGTCAGGAAAGCGAATGAATGTGTGAATTATTCTCTTAATTTGCGTTATTGTCTGAATATCCTCTGAGAATATTATATTTTTAATTATTTGATATAATTAAAAACATTTAATAAATACCCATGTATATTTGGTGACTGATACTAACCTTGGAACATAAACTAAACAGAAAAATGAAAAATATTTGACATTTTTTATTTCAAATTTCAGTGGTAATTGGGTTAACAGACTATATGTCCCTTATGAACAAGGAGCACCTTGTGCCAGTTGCCCAAATAACTGTGACGATGGACTATGCAGTAAGTTTGAAGTGATTAACTTGATAATAAAATAAAATGATCTGACATTTCTTCTAAGAATTGGGAACTCTGAAGACAACCAACTTAAGCAATGCTTTCATGCAAAGGACAAAAAAAAAAAAATCTGTCTGGCTCTGTCACCCAGGCTGGAGTGCAGTTGTGCCATCTCAACTCACTGCAACCTCCGCTTGCAGGGATCAAGTGATTCTAATGCCTCAGCCTCCTGGGTAGGTGGGACTACAGGCACGTGCCAGCACACCTGGCTAATTTTGTACTTTTTGTAGAGACAGGATTTTGCCATGTTGGCCACACTGGTCTCGAACTTCTGGCCATCAAGCGATCTGCCCACCTCAGCCACCCAAAGTACTGGGATTACAGGTGTGAGCCATCACACCCAGCCTTACGGAATGTTTTTAAGTGAACATTTTACACTGTTCAGTATCTATGTATTATTTGCAATGTAAAATTTGACCTGTTATCATATGTAACCTGATGAAACATTTACCATCCATTTTATATATTGCCATATATGAAAATGTGTCTGTGAAAATGACATATTATAATTAAATATGAAGTTTCTCCTCATAAAACTTTATATAATTATACAAAATACAGCATATTTTAAAAAAGAAAAACAAATATACATCTAAGAGTATGAGACCATAGAATATGGCTCAATCCAGACAGGGACTCCAAATACTGCAATTTCTCATATGTTAACGAATTTATCATACTAACTTCCTCGTATTTGCCATAGTGTAGTTAGAGTCATCAAGTTTAATATAATAATCACTTGCACTTCCGCTTGCTAATAATTTTTATATGCATTTTTAAAGTCAAAATCAAATCTGTATGTAGTATTAACTCACAGAAGCCTCAAAAATATTTTAGCAAAAAGAAGTAAAATAAATATATATCTCATACAATTTCATTTTATGCTTTCATAAATAAAAATACAAAGAGTTGATATGTTTGTTTAACTAGGATGTATTACTAAAATTATTACTGACAATGCAGTCGACCCATTCGTTGAGAATTTTACCTTTCAAATGCATTCACCTGACTGAATTGTAACATTTTTTTCTGACTGAATTGTATAGCTTTAATTCAGAATATTGATAATACCAAAGCTATAAATCAACTAAAGAAGGAAAATCCAAGTATTTCCAGCACTGCCAAATGCTGTTTTCTAAGAAGCTTGAAATTTATCTTATTAGTAATGATCAGCCAACTGAAAAATTTTAAACAGAAGAATGATAAGATCTGAACTGTGTTTTCTAAGGAGCTCCTGACAGTAGTAGGAAGAAGCAATTGAATGAAAATCAGCTAGGAGACTGTTGGAAAAACACACACTCAAAAACAAATGAGTATCTTTACTGCATTAGTGCAAAATGAATGAAAAAAATAGATAGGTATGAAAAATAGGAAGAAAGTAGAATAGTCAGTTGTTGTTACCTCGTATTGTTGAATATTGATTACAAAAAAAAAAAAATAGAAACAAGTCTCAGTTGATTCCTGGCTCCTGGCTTGAATTGTTTAATAGTTGGGAGTGCCATTTCTCTGAAACTGGGTGAACCAAATGAAGAATTGTTGGGAAATAACAAAGAAATGTCAAGCTTGTAGACAGGATGATGAATTTAGTTTGAGATTTGTTGAGTTTGTGGCCACTGAAGGACATTCAAGTAGAAATGTCCAATAATCATAATGACATTCTCTCCACCTTTTACATTATATATTTACATCTTCCTATAATAATTACTTAGACCTGAGAGAAAGACTGGTGGCACTAGAGTCTAGAACTGTGTTCAATAACTTTCTACAATGATGAAGATGTTCAATATTCTCACTTTCCTATAAAGTCGCCCTTAGACACATGGCTACTGAGCAAGTGATATACCTGGTGTTGTTGAGGAAAGACCTGAAATTTTAATTTTATTTAATTTTGATTAATTTAAGTTTAAACAACCACATGACAAGTATCCACCATTTTGGATATCGCAGTTCTAGAGAAATCCATTTAAATTAATTTTACTCTGCTCACTCGTTGAGTGAGGAAAATATGTCAGTTCATCTTAGAAACATTTCCAAAAGCTCGAATTTAAAAATGAATCTGTGTGTTTACCTAAGAGACCTTGTGTGTCCCTCAAGATATAAAATGGCCATCTTAGTGTAACAATGCCAGTTTGTTTGCTCACTTCCCTACTCTCTGTTCATATAGAATGTATTATATGTGCTGTTGTTATGGAAGAAAATGATAATGAAGTGACTGGTTTCTTTGTTTTTATTCCAGCCAATGGTTGCAAGTATGAAGATCTCTATAGTAACTGTGAAAATTTGAAGCGCACATATTCCTGTCAACATCCGTTTGTCAGGGACAGTTGCAAGGCCTCCTGCAATTGTTCAAACAGCATTTATTAAATTCGCATTACACACTGAGTAGCGTTATGTAGAGAGGAGTCAGATTATCTACTTAGATTCGGTATCTACTTAGATTTAGCATATACTAGCTGAGAAATTGTAGGCATGTTTGATACACATTTGATTCCAAATCTTTTTCTTCTGGATCTGCTTTTTATTTTACAAAAATCTTTTTCATACAAATGATTTAAAAGTAACAAAATCTATAACAACAACTTTGGATTTTTATATATAAACTTTGTGATTTAAATTTACTGAATTTAATTAGTGTGAAAATTTTGAAAGTGGTATTCTCACATGACTAAGTTCAGTAAAACCCTGGATTGAAAGTGAGAATTATGTTCCTAGAACAAAATGTACAAAAAGAATAATATAATTTTCACATGAGTCCTTGGCTGTAGTTGCCTTTCCTAGCTCCACTCTAAGGCTAAGCATCTTCAAAGATGTGCTCCCATATGCTGTCTTAATTCCTTTCACTCATTCACCCTTCTTTATAATCATCTGACTGGCATCCTCACAACTGAGTTGAAGCTGTTCCTCCTAAAACAACCCTGACTTTTATTTTGCCAAAATCAATATAATCCTTTGTTTATCTGCATAAATTTTACAGTAGAATATGATCACACCTTCATTTTTAAACCTCTCTTCTCTTTGACAAACCTTCCTTAAAAAAGAATCCAAGATAATACAGGTAAATACCCTCCACTCAAGGAGGTAGCACTCAGTCCCCTACCTTGTGAGTCTTCACTAAAATTAGTGACTCATTTCCAAAGAGTGGAATATGGAAAGGGAAACATAGTAACTTTACAGGGGAGAAAAATGACAAATGCCTTCTTCACCAAGTGATCAACATTAACGTCACCAGTGATAAGTCATGTGGATTTGTTCTATGTAATCTTTCTAAAAATTCATAATCCCAATCTAATTATGAGCTAAAACATACAGCAAATTCAAGCTGAAGGACATTCTACAAAATATCCCTGGGGTATTTTAGAGTATTCCTCAAAACTGTAAAAATCATGGAAAATAAGAAAATCCTGAGAAACAATCACAGACCACATGAGACTAAGGAGACATAGGAGCCAAATGCAATGTGCTTTCTTGGATCAGATCCTGGAAAAGAAAAAGATCAGTAATGAAAAGCTGATGAAGTCTGAATAGAATCTGGAGTATTTTTAACAGTAGTGTTGATTTCTTAATCTTGATAAATATAGCAGGGTAATGTAAGATGATAACATTAGAGAAACTGAAACTGGGTGAGGGCTATCTGGGAATTCTCTGTACTATCTTACCAAATTTTCAGTAAATCTAAGAAAACAATGAAAAATAAAAAGTATTTTGAAAATAAATACAAGAATTTTTTTCTTGACTCTATGACACATCATAGCTTTTCTTCAGATTATCTAGTTATTCTTTCCTAGACTTTTACTCTTAACCTTCAGTTCCTTTATCCCAGTGCTATATGTTTGATTTTGTCCTTTCCGGTAATATCAATGATTAGGTTGTCATATCAGATGGACTTGCTTACTCAGTATCAAACTTCAGTAAAAATTTCAAGGATCTAAGTAGTCATGAGGCAAAGGAAAACAGGAAGGTGCAGGACCACCAAGGCAGCTCCTAGATGATATTTTTGGCTGCATCTCTTAATCTCTTAAGCAATAAATTTCCTAATTAATCTCCATTCAAAACCTTTCAATAGGCTTCAGAAGTAATTAGTATAATATTCATGATCTTAAACTGATCTGCAAGAAGCTGAATAATCTTTTTTATATTTGCCTCTCTAATCTCACTTCATTCCACCCTCCCTCATTTCCTCTGCTCCAGTAGGATGAGCCCATTAAATTACCTCAAATTCCTCAAGATCATTTTTACCTTATGGTGTTTATGTTTGCTATTGCTCTGTTCGGAAGAATGATCACTGTATTATTTGCTAGAATTGCTACTACACATTAAACATCATTTCATCAACAGATTATTTTGAGCATATAATCTAGAGAAACTCCCATCATTTTCTCTCAGAGCTCCCTATATTTCTTCTCCTTTTTTTTTCAAAGCCAAAAGCTATATTTGTGATATTCTTTTCTCCTTGTTGTTCTTTTTTATTATACTTTAAGTTCTAGGGTGCATGTGCACAATGTTCAGGCTTGTTACATATGTATACGTGTGCCATGTTGGTGTGCTACACCCATTAACTCATCATTTACATTAAGTATATCTCCTAATGCTATCCCTCCCCCCTCCTCCCACCCCACAACAGGTCCCAATGTGTGATGTTCCTTTTCCTGTGTCCAAGTGTTCTCATTATTCAATTCCCACCTGTGAGTGAGAACATGCGGTGTTTGTTTTTTTGTCCTTGCGATAGTTTGCTGAGAATGATGGTTTCCACCTTCATCCATGTCCCTACAAAGGACATGAACTCATCCTTTTTTATGGCTGCACAGTATTCCATGGTGTATATGTGCCACATTTTCTTAATCCAGTCTATCA